TGTTTACAAAGTATGGCGGTGTTTTCATCTATCTAGCGGTCTCCTACATTTTTTTTTTTTTATTATTTTTTTTTTGCTTTTGTTTTGCGTTGTTCCTGCGTAGTGAGAGTTCTTGGTTCTTGGTGAGCTCGGACGCTTTCCAACGCGTTAAGATTCTGGAGTGCAAACTTGTAAGAAACCTTTGCGACCGTGACTAGTATGCAGTCGGCGCTGCTTGCACGCGATGTATTTTCGACGCGTTTTGTCCGTCTTATTGCCCGCGTGCGTTGGCGTACCTGGTTTCTGAAAGTGTGCGCGTCTCCCACGTGCATCTTAAACCATGCGTGGTCATTGCATGTTTTCGCTTGAGGAGATATCCATTTCCACCAGTGAGTAGTGTTCATTCGCCGCCGCTTCATCGCGATGTGCTTTTGACGTCTTTTTGCTTCTCTGTGCCGCCCGCCCTCCGTGCTTCCCGAAGGTGAGCGCATGGTTTCGCTTTGCAGTGCGCGCTCTGCAGCGTGGTGTTGTGGCGTGGTTCCGGTGAAAGTGCCTGTGGGTGACCTCGCGTGCGTCCGTAATTCCCTGCCTTCGGCCTACTCAGCGTGGACGTCATTTCTGTCCTGTTACCTGCTGCTCAGTGCTCAGTGCTCAGTGCTGTGCTTGTGCAAGGCCTCTGGTGTGGGTGCCGTGTCCTACGTATCGCCCAACTAGGTTCTACTTGTGCCCCTTATTAATTCATTAATATGTGTCGTGTGTGTGTGTGCTCTTTGAGCAGTTTCCGTTCTTGTGCCGTCCGTCCAGTGAAAGGATTTTTTTATTTTTTTTTATTAAGTTACGGCGCTTGTTTTCGTGCAGCTCTACGTGGTCGTGTCCTCGTACGCAGTGGTGTGTTTGTGGAAAGTCTGTCGTTGTGTTGTGTTGTGCAGTGCAGTGCAGTGCAGTGCAGTGCTGTGCGTGCGCCAAAGCCTCTGGATAAAAGAAAAAAAAAATATATATATATATATATAAATACACATTTTTGTTTTCTAATTTTGTTTTTTTAATTAATTTTACATGTGGTAAGTATGCATGACTTATACCATCCTTTGTATTGATTTATTTGGGTCGTGTCTTTTTTTTCCACATTATTAGCCTTCTTGTTCTCCTCCTCCTCCTCCTGCTTATCATTATTGTAGAAATGTTTTCCTTTTTCTTTTTTTCCTCTTTCTTTCTAAGCTTTTAGTTTCCACCAGAGTGTCGAACCGAATTTTTTATTGGTTTGCTTCGATTTGCGGGAGCACAAAAGTAATGTAGGACATTAAAATAGCACAACAAATAGAAGAACAAGAGGTATACAGGACAGGCGCTGATGTTGAACTAGTTTCATTCAGGAAAAGTGAACATGTATATACACACGACAGGCAAAGCAGCACATATTCTTAAGGGTAGAAGATATTTGAGCTGGGATGCTGGTGTCTCCCAGCACGATCAAACCATCGGGGGCTATTGCCGCCTTCTCGGCTGCCCTCGGCACTTATCGTGAATAAAAGCTATATATGTATGTTTACTTTTCCTGGACAAAACTAGTTGAAAGTGAGTGCCTGTCCTGTATACTCCTTGTCCTCGTCTTTTTTGCGCTATTTTATATATTTTACTAAGATGAACCAACAGCGTACCGTATTAAAAAGAAAAAGAAGAAGCTAAAGTGATATTATATTTACCTGGTGCTTCTTTTCGTAATAGGCACTATTTCAAGAGTGCAAACGGGTATCTTTCCATTCATTTGTAGGGTTCGCTTATTTTCAGGTGCCGAGAAATAAATTGCTTTATTTAAATTTGATGGAGCAGTAAATGACAAGCTACATACATATCTGTCTTTCCTTGTTTTTTTTTGTTTTTTTTGTGTTAT